CCTGGCCCCACTATCTAACACACAAGCTGCTATCGGCCACTGATTGAATGAACATATCGATTGTCAAGTTTGTCTCAAGCATGAGCTCTCGAAGAGTCATGCTTCCTCAATGCCTCCACGTCCACACAGTAGCAGAATACCCCTGCGACAGACATTTTTCTTGCATTGGGTGTTGCAAGTCCTTTAGTTACCCCTGTTTTTTACCCTTGTTCATACCCCGAAAGCAATACAGTCATCCCCCCCAGTCGCATAGAACCTGCCGTGTCTTCTCGACAACACCCTCTCACAACCACTGAACACTCAATCAACAAAAAATAGGCAATCCCATGCTCCACAAAACCACAGCACCTGATTGGTCCATCACCGCCTCCATGAGGAAAACCACTCCTCTTCATCAGCGCTGTCTGAATCACCTAAGCTACAGAATTTCCAAAACCATCTACAATCAACAACAATTGATAGACTATACATCTTATGCTAACATGTACCGAGGTCTCAACACCCCGTTCAAAAAGTCCCTGCATTTGAGAGAAAGTCCGCACCTTTCAACCTCACATATTAGTATTTCCTCCACCAAGACACCCACTTCGCATCATACAAAATCCCGAAATTCCAATATTGCCTCAGTTCTCCACATATAGTGATATGGCAACGAATCCTAAAAAGAAAAACTGACATCATTACAAACCATAAATTTAGGAGGAGCGCATGCGCGTCCGGCGAAGCGGATGGTCAACAGGTCTGAGACCCGCTCCGTCCCGCCGGCTCGTCAGACAGGCACAGCAGCACGAGGGGAGATAGTGCAGCCCTGCACACAGATCCACGCCTGAGAGCTCCTCTGTACCCCGGGGACCCGGTGAGTCATCTCCACCTCTATCACCTCCACTATCCCCTACTGCCTGCAGCCCTGTGAAATCAAAGCCAAGGCTGGATATGGATCCTACCATTGAAATTCTACCAAATGTATTCCCTACACTACAGGAAAACATTACACCCTCACTGATAGAATCATTCCCTGTATCTGATCAACCGATCACAGAGATTAGTATGAAAAAAATATGCTACTTTCCCTGCGTCAGACACTACATAATGATATCACGGCTTCCTTAACCCAAATCTCAAATACAATGCAACGACAATACTCGAGAATACGCCATATTGAAAACAAGAATGGAAGACATGATATCAGCTCATAATGACATGATTGACGCACACACCGATCACTCGAAAGATCTTGAGCAAATTAAGTTAAAAATAGCAGATCTTGAAGATCGCTCGAGATGGAATAATGTCAAATTAAGAGGCATACCAGAAACCATTACCACTGATGCTCTGCTCCCGTACATTCAACAACTTATGAAGCACCTGCTCCCATCCATCTCGGAGCAAGAGATGGCCATAGATCGGGCACATCGGATACCCAAACCATCTTTCCTCTCAGCCTCTATTCCGAGAGATGTTCTAGCCCGCATTCATTTTTATCATGTGAAAGAACGTATGATGGCCGCTGCCAGAAACCCGCCACCTCTCCCACCATCCCACACGAACATCAAATTGTATGCAGATCTGTCAAAGGATACACTCCTCAACCGTAAAAAATTAGTGTCTGTTACCAAGGCACTCCGTAACCACGGCATCAGCTATCAGTGGGGATTCCCTACTAAACTAGTAGTTAAACACCACGGTAGAATTTTCACCATTAAATCACTGGAATCCGGCATTGACTTACTGCAATCTTGGAACATAATACCAGTGGATCCGCCACGCTCTGCCCACTACAACCACCAACAAATGGAAGCAGAATAACCAAATCTCTGGGTACCTTTATCAGGTCCTATTGTGACCCCTCAGCCGAATGAAAACTATTATCTGAAACACTGACTCATGGCCTTAATAAGTTCACTAATGTCTCGATTGAAAGTCTGGCATGACCTTTGTTATGGTCAACGCCAACCTGCACCCCCTTGTTTGACAGTAGCGATTATTGCTACTCGTGTTCCTTGCGTTATCTGCAAGATTTTTTTACCCCTTCCTACCTATCCAATCCCCGGAACCACCAGCTCGTCTGATCCTCTTCATAACCAAAACACAGGATGGAACATATCCTCTGCAACTTTTTTTCGGTAGTCACTATATCACTATCTTAAAAACAACTAACATACTCTACCAAACAGTTCACCAACACTACAAATGATTAACCTCACATCTCTGAATGTACGAGGCTTGAACTCTCCCTTTAAAAGATCTATGCTGTACAAAGAAACCCGCAAACTCCATGCTGATGTCTTGTTCCTACAGGAAACACACTTTGTATCTTCCAAACTCCCAAAGCTAAATATGCACGGCTTCTCCCACATCTACATGGCTAATAACTAAAAAGAAAAAAAATGGTGTCATCACAGCCATTAAGGACTCTATACAATTTCAGTTCATTTCTGAGTTGGCGGACCCCCAAGGTCGCTTTCATATTCTAATCGGCAAAATCAACAATATCCCATACACTCTGGTCAATATATACGGCCCTAACCACCAACAGATGAAATTCTACAAAAAACTCTACTCTACAGTCTCTCCTATATCACAGGGTAGGCTTATTATTGGAGGGGACTTCAACATCATTGGAGATACACTTCTGGACTCATCTTCTACTAAAAGAACCCCCAACTTGAGCTTCAACAACTTTCTACACACTCATGACCTATATGATATCTTGCATTGCCAACACGGATCGGAAAGAGACTACACGTATTTTTCCCCAGCTCACCTATCATACTCCTTTAGATTGACTTTCTTATTACGGACAAATGGACTCTTCAACATGTAACGTCATCCAATATCGGCAATATAACCTGGTCGGACCATGCTCCAGTCAATATAACCCTAGACGACACTCACCATTCTTCAATCCCCCGAATATGGAGACTGAACTCTACGATCTTGAAACAGCCTGAAAACCAGAAATACTTATTAGATGCACATAAGGTATTTTTTGAATGTAATGATACTCCTGATATCTCCATTTCCACACTATGGCCTACTTACAAAAGCATATATGAGAGGTATTCTCATTCAACTTAACGCACGCATAAATAAGACCCGAGCTAAACAAATTGACCAATTACTAACATCCATAAAACTTAAGGAAGACGCAAATAAGAAAAACCCTACCCCCTCCATATCTACATCTCTCTCCGCTGATAGAAAGAAACTCCGTATACTCCTATTACACAAATATGACATAAACTTACAGAAAACAAAAACACGATTCTATTCCCTGGCTAATAAAGCAAACTCACTCCTAATTAAAACGATTAAACAGAAACGCCTTAAAGCTAAAATTACCTCTATCCGACACCCTACCACACACGAGTGTTTTACGAACCCACAAGATATAGCGGAGGCCTTTGCTGATTACTAAAAGACACTATACAATATTGTAGATGACCCACACAGGTCGCTACCACATATTGATCTACAAAATCAATGATACTACATATACATTGGTGAACGTCTATGGTCCTAACACCAATCAAATCAAATTCTTCAACAAACTTAACTCCACCATAAATCAACGCAGAAAAGGCAGACCACTCATCGGTGGGGACTTTAACATTATCGGTAATCCTCTTCTGGACTCCTCATTCAACAAAAGATCTTCAAAACAGACTTTCAACCAATTTCTTCATTCCAATGATCTCTATGACATCCGGAGATGCCAACACAGTACAGAAAAGGACTATACCTACTACTCTCCATCCCACTCATCCTACTCTAGAATTGACTTCATCACCGATAAATGGACGCTGATGGACATATATAGATGGACATCACATCCTCCAAGATTGGTACTATTACTTGGTCAGACCACGCTCCGATCACAATCTCTCTTGACAGCAAACAACATTCGTCGATACCCCGTTTATGGCGACTGAACTCGTTCCTGCTGAAAAACCAAGACTACAAGCAACAGATAATAGATGCACACAGAACATTCTTCGAATTTAACGATACTCCTGATATATCCATAACCACTCTGTGGTCAACATATAAAGCATACATGAGAGGTATTCTGATACCAGAACCCAACAAATAGATAACCTCCTAACATCAATCAAAACAAATGAGGAAAAAAACAAAAAATCACAAGACCCAACAATCTCTACGTCTTTGACAGCAGATAGAAATAAATTAAGATCCCTTCTACTCCACAAATATGATCTAAATCTCCAAAAAATGAGAGCGAAATTCTACTCACTAGGTAACAAAGCCAGCCCGTTGTTAGCCAAATTGGTAAAAAAAACCGTCTGAAATCCAAAATAGCCTCAATTAAACACCCATCTACGAATACCCTAAGCACAAACCCCAAGACATAGCGAACACCTTTGCAGTATACTACCAAAATCTATACAATCTTAAAAACGACCCTGATGCAATTCAACCAACAATCAATCCATACAACAATTTCTCCAAACGACCAATCTCCCTCAGCTATCCTCAGACCAACTTGACTCCATTTTTACCCCAATATCACCCAAAGAAATAGAAACAACCATTAAAACACTCCCAATTAATAATTCACCAGGAAACGATGGATACACTAACGAATACTATAAACACCTTGCCACAGAACTGTCACCACACCTGACCAAACTCTTCAATCACGCTGCCACCACAGGCTCATTCCCCAAAGACATGTTGCAATCTACCATAACGACTATACCAAAACCAGGCAAAGACCCCCAACTCGTCCAAAACTACAGGCTAATTTTGCTACTCAATACCGACATAAAACTATACGTGAAAATCATATCCTGAAGAATTCTCCCCTACCTACCCACCCTAATGCACCCGGATCAAGTAGGTTTCATCCCAGGTCGCAAGCATCCGATGCTACCAGAAGAATTATATCCCTCCTACATAACTTAGAAAGTACTAAGACCCCCTCCTTGCTCCTATCTTTGGATGCAGAGAAAGCATTCGACCGGATACATTGGCAATTCATGCAACTTACACTTCAAAAATTTGGCATCACAGGTTGGATGATGAAAGCCATCTTGTCATTATATTCACAGCCATCCGCTAGTGTTCTCACAGATGGCACATTATCCGATCCCTTCGACATATCAAACGGTACAAGACAAGGCTGCCCACTCTCCCCGATAATATTTACACTCCTTAATGAACCCTTAGCTTCCAAACTCAGAGAGGACAGAACATTTACACATTTTATATGAAGAGAGGAACGAGCGCTGGATGTGATAGGATTCAAGCTGCTAGCATATAGGTAAACCTCGTATACCCCCTTTATCAAAAGTCATATACAAAAAATTGCAGCGCTTGAGTGTATAATACAGGGAATTAACATGAATAGCAGATTTAAATGTTCATATTTCAACATGCACCAGATTCCACATTCTAAAAATGTTGTAAACAGTAATCAGATAAGTAATGAAAATCTATCCGACTAATCAAGGTGCATATAGTGATGGTGATGTTAAAATCATAAGTTCTGTGATGTATCCAAAAAAATCCGTGACTTCCGTGATAGGGGAATAACTGTATAATGCACTAACCAGATAGCGCAAGTACATGCGCATTGGAGTATAATGACCTACTCCTGGTCACAGCCAGATGGTCCTCAGCGTGAAGCCCTCAGGAACACCAGTGCACCACTCTTGCCGTCTCCTACCACCAGGGGGAGTGCGCCTCTTTACAGTAACACGAAATCACTTTATATCCTCTATCGCCAGGATTGGTGTACTTTCTTATCAGGAGATCATCTCAGGGGCTCAGCAATAAGACCCTTTGTGTCTCCTTCCCTTATGATTTACAGTGAACCTAATTAACTTGAGAACGCAGTTTTCCAAAATGATCCCTTATGTCCACATCTGCAATCTGTTCTGTGTTGTTTGTGAATAGTAGGTCCAACAGTTCATTATTTCTAGTTGGGGCATCCACCAGTTGACATATGAAATTGTCCAGATAGTGCTATCATGTCTGTAACCTGTCATTTAATTCCTTTAGGACCGAGTGCTCCCCCTTGGATAGAAAAAGTGAACTAGAGATTGAACTCTTCATAGGATGTCATTGATTGTACAACACTAGGCAAACTATATCCGCCCCTTACTCTCCCAAACTTTGGGAGAGTAAGGGGCGGATATAGTTTGCCTAGTGTTGTACAATCAATGACATCCTATGAAGAGTTCAATCTCTAGTTCACTTTTTCTATCCAAGGGGGAGCACTCGGTCCTAAAGGAATTAAATGACAGGTTACAGACATGATAGCACTATCTGGACAATTTCATATGTCAACTGGTGGATGCCCCAACTAGAAATAATGAACTGTTGGACCTACTATTCACAAACAACACAGAACAGATTGCAGATGTGGACATAAGGGATCATTTTGGAAAACTGCGTTCTCAAGTTAATTAGGTTCACTGTAAATCATAAGGGAAGGAGACACAAAGGGTCTTATTGCTGAGCCCCTGAGATGATCTCCTGATAAGAAAGTACACCAATCCTGGCGATAGAGGATATAATGTGATTTCGTGTTACTGTAAAGAGGCGCACTCCCCTGGTGGTAGGAGACGGCAAGAGTGGTGCACTGGTGTTCCTGAGGGCTTCACACTGAGGACCATCTGGCTGTGACCAGGAGTAGGTCATTATACTCCAATGCGCATGTACTTGCGCTATCTGGTTAGTGCATTATACAGTTATTCCCCTATCACGGAAGTCACGGATTTTTTTGGATACATCACAGAACTTATGATTTTAACATCACCATCACTATATGCACCTTGATTAGTCGGATAGATTTTCATTACTTATCTGATTACTGTTTACAACATTTTTAGAATGTGGAATCTGGTGCATGTTGAAATATGAACATTTTAAATCTGCTATTCATGTTAATTCCCTGTATTTACACATTTTAACATGGAACACAAAATCAGCCTATTTGCGGATGATATAATATTAATGGTGTCCACCCCAAAAAAATCCCTCCAAACGATTCACTCACACCTATATACCTACTCAACAGTTTCATACTACAAACTTAATGAACCCAAATCTTCCATACTTAACCTTCACATCTCAGCCCAACTCCAAATCCAACTAGCCAAACAATTCCCATTTTTATGGGAAACAAACAGCATTCCTTACTTAGGAATCAGACTCACACCAACGACAGACCATCTATACACAGCAAATCACAAAATATTGCTTGAAACTATCCCCCGAGAACTAAACACTTTACGCACCTTATAACTCTCCAAACTAGGCCGAGTGGCGACACTAAAAATGTATATTTTACCCAAAATCTTGTACATATTCCGCACACACTCCTCTTACCAATCCATAATTCATTCTTCTCTAAACTACAAACAATCTTCACAAAGTTCCTATTGTCAGGAATGGACTGGCCAGCAATGGTGGGACTCACCTGCCTTTTGATCTGCAGTACCAGGGCTGGCCAGCGGGTGCTCCCAGCAATCAGAGACTCAACTTTGCAGCCAGCTAACACCTGGAACTGATTATGCTGGGGTATTTAAGGGATGGCCAGACCCACAGACTCTGCCTTGGTGTGTGTTTGTCCTGGGCCCTGTATCTGTGCTGCATCCTGTTTCTGTTCCTTTGCTGACCCTCTGTACTACGCTGCTTGCTACCTGTCCTGATCCCTGGCTTGTGACCCTGACCATCCCTCTGCCTGACCCTCTGTACTACGCTGCTTGCTACCTGTTCTGATCCCTGGCTTGTAACCCTGACCATCCCTCTGCTTGACCCTCTGTACTACGCTGCTTGCTACCTGCTGAACCTGGCCTGTGACCCCGACCATTCTCCGCTTGCTCCCCCCTGTACCTACCTGCCCAATTGATATTGACCCGGCCTGCCTGACGACGCTTGCTTGTATGTACTGTTATCTGTGGGTGGTTGGTTTGGTTTGTTTGCACTGTATTATGTTTAGTATTGCACTGCGTTTATGTTTGTATTGTTAGTGTTAATAAATTATATTGTTTATCCCATATCTGAAGTCTGCGTTTCCCTGCGTCAGTCACACATCTCTGGTCATACCTGGGAGCCCTGACATTACACCAA